GACTCGATGATCTTGGAGGTCTCTTCCAACCTTAATGATTCTATGATTCTATGACTTTGTGAGGCTTAGGAAGAAAGGGCTGAGCTCTTTTTATCCATCTGGGAGTCTGAGTAGGCTGAGTTACTGAAGAACATGGCACTTCGATACTATCAATCAGAGCTAAGAAACCGAGTCAAACAAGTTCTGTCACGGCCTCCCAATGCTGCCTCAGGGTGACCCTCAAGAGCTTTAACTGTTGGATGAATGCATTATGAGCACAGCATGTGATAATCACTGGCAGTTCCAGATTTCTTTGTGGGGCCTGACGAGAGTATCATCCCCTCTATTCTGAGGAACAGACTGTTGAAAATTTTTTCTCCTCTATGTTTGCTCTATGAAGGACTCCTGCAACAGCCATTTGTGGTAACGTATCTGCCCAATAATAAATCAGTTACTGGCTTTATGTCCTCAGCGATGTTGCTACTATCTCATCCAGAGCCTGAATGTTTCCTGACAGGGAAGGGGATGTTAGCTTCCCTTGAATCGCTTAAGTAACGTATCCTAAATGTTCCGTTGGTGGGAATCATGGGCACCCTGGCTGCGAATTTGCTCAGAAGCAGCGGCCACGGGCAAATGGGCTGGATGGATCTCGCATCCTATTTCCGCAGCATCTGTGCAAAGTGTCACAGTGAGGAGGTGGTGGAGAAAGCTCTCACTGGGTTTGGCCACCCGGCAAAGGTAAAGGTGGTAAGAACTCTTGACCTGGATGGTGGAAAGCATGAGTATCAGCCAGAGTTGTAAAGCTTGCAGGTGAACTCTGAAAACCTGTCATGTATGTATACGCGGGCTTGAAGGCCAAGTCGTCTCATGGATAAACGCGCCCCGAGACCACCGGAACTGATCACAAGCCATTTGCCATCAATAGGCGAGATGAGGATCCGTTGTTCGGGGAGAGCAGCCACGCTGGCTGAGAGCGCATCTGCTGCTCTTTGTCACAGCATTTGACAAAATAAACAAGGAGTTTAAAAAATAAGCAAAGCATGTGTTTCATTCTCTTCAGAGCATGAAGGCAGAGAGGGGGAATCTTTGGTTCTGTTAAAGAGATCACCACAGTGTACAGGCTGGGTAGTTTTGGAGCTGTGGCCAGTCTGAAGAGGAAGAGCGAGCCCCGCAGTGGTAGCTGTCTGCTCCCACGGTACATTTCATGTACTGCCGGTGGGCTCCTGGCACGTTCAGGAAAGTTGAGGGCTGTGACGCAGTCTTGCTCGTGACAGATGACAGAAGCTGGAAGGATTAAAATACCCTCCTCAGAGCAAACTGCTCTTAATCTTTAAAACAAGCAGATACAGGGATGCTGTGACCTATTCCCGCAGGAACAGGCAACCCCACTGCTGGATGGCTCTCAGGCAAACCCTGAGCCCGTGCAGAAAAAAATAGAGCGCGCGCGAAAACGTGGGGGCCTACAAACAGTCTTAGTCAGGGTTTTGGCAGCCATGAATAAAAGTCTGTGTTTTGCTCACATTGTCTCATCCAAGGCTTCACCTTCTCTCCTCTTCATCAGCCCGCCGCCCCGCCCCCATGTGAGGGTTTAACAGCCGTACTTGCGTAGTGTACTATTTTCATTTTAAGCGTAAGAAGGATGTATGTTCCAAGGCCTTGAGTCACGTTAGCTAAAACTCACCTCCACTTCTGACATTTAATCAGTTCTTGGTTCTTCAAATTAAAAAAAAAAAAAAAAAAAAAAATCAAAAGATCATCTTCTTGATCACACGGACATACTGTAAACACTTCGTTTTGATCAATTTTTCAAGGCAATATTTGTTTCAAACTTTAAATGGAGCAGACCAAACAGCTTTCACTGGTAACCACTGAGCTCTTGAGCTAAACGCCCGGATAGCGGAATGAGAGAAGTATGGGAATTAGTCTACTAAGCTGGAAAAAATCTTTCACTTGGGAGCTCATTACAACCGAGTTCACATAGTACATCATTGTTACCTCGGTTGCTTACACCAGAAATAACAAACGTACTCCCCCCCCCAAAAAAAAATCACCCTACCAAAAGCCAGACTCATTTGTTAACGACAGGAGGTGACCTTTCCTTTGCAGCACTCGAGGACTTGGAGGGAGTGGTGGCAACACACAAAATAGCCTGGAAGCCTGCAAAACGCAGCAAGAAGGCAATGCCAACATGTCCCCAAAATCTCTGGGTAAAGACATAAATGACGAGCGTGGGATGACAGTTGTAATTGCCTCTGCTGTCAACTTCAAAGAAGTCCTTGGGTTTTGAACCCATCGCAATCGTCGATGGCTGAAGCATTACATTTGCTTTAGTGAAAGGCTCCTACTGAAGAGCAGGGGCGACCTGATCACGCGCACCTCTCGTAACGGAGCGGGCAATAAACCTTCGGTTGCCGCGTTTCTGCCTCTTGCTTTGACAGCGACTTTCGTTCCCGAAAGGCTTGGAGGACGCGCGCCCTTGCGTGGTGCGCCCTGCTCGCGGTCGGGAGCCCCGCGTGTGCGCTCCTGCCGGAGAGGCCCGGCAAACACCTTTTCCCAGGAGCGTCACTACTGCGGGGAGTGGGAAGAGTAAGGTGTGGAGGAGGGAAGGGGGCCATAAGCCCATCTATTTATTTTGGTGGTGTTTCAGATTGCTTTAAGGGAGGGTTTTACTAACTTCAGCGATAAAAACTAAGCATGCTTGTCAGTCACTGTTTAGTGACCAAGTAACGTAACTGTCAGTAAAATAAACAAGATTTTTGCAACTTTATAGCTTAAAGTTGCTATACTTCATTCTCTCCTCTTTAAGGCTCATTCAGAGGGCTGAAAACCAAACACCTTCCAAATTACTATTTCTCTTCCTTTCTAGTAACTGTCTGGTATGTTTTAATTTGAGGAATATTTTGAACCTCGGTAAGGGAAGAACTATCATATCTGTCATTAGCAGCAATACTTAAAATAAAGATATCAAGACCAATAATAAAATACAGATGCATGCTATGTGTTTCCAGCAATGACTAAAACAATCAGAATTAAATTTAAAAAATTAGCATTAATAGGGATACAGCTCACTAATTTAAAAAATGGTTAAGAAATTGTTTTCAAACGTTAAAATTCTTTCTATTAAGTTACTACAATTTTTATTTTCTTGTGAATGTATCCTAATTTATGACAACTAATAGCTTTGAGATTTTGGGGTTTTGTCCTGTCCCTCACCCTTTCAACAGGGGTTTGTAACCCATCAGTCACTTCCAACCCGCTTTCCGTAGCTGGCGCAGGAGCTGCTGCGGCCAGCGCTTCGAGGAATTATGTCAGACTTTTTCCTCTGCGTGTTTAACCATGAGCATTCTTCCCTCCGCTACTGCAGACCCTCCCCTTCCAGGCCAACCGAGTCCCGCTCACAGCTTCCTTGTCTTATTCCCCCCGCCCCCTTCAGCAAAGGCTCTGACTTTTGGTTAGCTCAATTCCACCTCAACTTTTACTACGTAATGAAGCTCAAACGTGTCGGCCAGCCTGCCTGCATATTGCCTCTTCCCCCATTTTCCTGTTAACATCTGGCATACTCATTTTACATTTTGCACAGTGAGGCAGAAGTATTAGATCAGTTATCTACGCAATGCAGCTACATCTAGAGTTTCATAGTTACTGGCCAGAATTGCAAATACTGTAGTTAAACTGCTGTTGAGCTAATGTCCTTAAATGCAGTAGCTTAAACCAACATCAGCTAACACCAGAGAGGATCTAATGCTGCAGTTTTCCCCAGATTTTTTAGTTTACACAGTTATCATGAGGCTTCTGCTTTTTTCTCGACGTAGTCGCAGTACTTGTGCATTTTGAAGGATGCCATTATGTGCATGCTAACTTCTTTCCTACCAGTACGGAACAGCATTCTCCTCTTTCTCTACAACTGCTCTTTGCCAAAGAGTAAATTTTCATCCGCACGCTTTTGTTTCCTAACTCCCCAGCTGAACTATGACCTCAAAGCCAAAAGACCCCCTGCTTAGGCTGCAGTTCCTTTTCTTCGGTCAGATAGGAAAGAACTCAACCATGTATTAAAATAGGAGCTTGCTAAGTCCCTGCTCATGGCTCGCTCAGTTTCCCACTGCCGCTCCAAGGGCTTTACGAGGCAACACCTCCTACCCCATCCAAAGGGAAGGAGCCTCCCTCCCCCTCAGCACACAACCAGGGGAAACATTCTTCTTTTCTGAATTAGAGTTAGGTACCAGTTAACATCTGAGTTTAGATTTTGCAGTGAGGACAGAAAGTGTTTCAGTGCGCTAACTCAAGTTTTCTGGAGACTTTTTATATAGAACTATTGAACTGGATGTCCTCCATAAAATTTCTCTTTTTTGTTTCCTCCAGAAGAAACAGGAGGAATAGAGGGAAAAAAAGGAAAAAAAGGAACCAGAGTATACAGGTTTGTTTTCTTCTTGTAAGAGGCTAATCCACAGAGGGTAAAAGTTTAATTATCATAGTGTAAATAGCATGTTTGTTTAGTGCTTTCATGTATATTTCCAAATTAAATAAAGTAGAGCAATGCTGCTGTTTACAACTGGATTCCCAAACCTCCCTACACCTACTTGCGTTAACAACAGATCGCAAACTCTCTCAGACTAACTATAGGGTAGGGGGGAAAGGACTATTTTTGCTCAGTGAATGCCTTTAGACCAAGAAGTGCTTACAGCACAACATACTCTAAATCATTTTGTGAAAAACGTAAATACATTGTGTCACTGGTGTAGACAGAAGCAAGCAAGGAATATTATGCCATCACTCATCTTTTTACCAATATGCAATTAGATCTAACACTGTATTTCCAAATAAGATGGCTTCCTTGAAATTATAGTGATATTTAACTGAAAATGTACACCAAAATATACAAGTAGAACACGCCTTTTTAAAAAAAAAACTACTGACCATTGCTACTTGCAAATAATATGAATTATTATTCCACCAGTTGTAAGGAAATGCCTTAAATAGAAGAGCAAGGTTTTTAATCAAGTAAAAACATCAGTTACTTACATAGCTTAGACTGCTTCTGAAGTGTGATTTTATTCTTAGTTTCGCACAGACAGAACAAAAATGGAAATCCTTCAACTTCACAGTGTATATAAGTTATCTGAAGTTATGCTGCAGCTGAAATCTCACAAAGGCTACTGGTATCACCCACCTGACACAAGCAAAGCCTTCACCTACTGTTTAAATATTCCTGTTTTACAAACAGCACGATTAACAGCAGCACCGAAGGATGCATTTACTCGGAGAACAGCCGATGAAAATATTTTCCTGTATTTAAATGAGGTGCAATTACAACTTTGCTAAAACAAACCATTCTGTTTATAATGGAAGTTAAAGCAGTCCCAAAACACTGTCATTAATCCTCTGAGACCCTGTAACAGAACACAGCAGCTCCCAGATGTTTAACAGGAGGTCATTCCTAACTGTGTACATAGGCATATACAGACATACCTATACGAAACAAAGAAAGGCTTGTATACTGACTTAACAGATTCGCTATGAATTTCTTGCTCGGATTTGCTAGGAAAACCAGCATGATTTATCAGTTTTAGGCACCTCACACATTTACAGGGAAGACTGCCATTTTTGGACCACCTTCTCCCAAAGCTGTATTAGACCACGGATTCCTCCATAGCGGACTATGAATCACTTCTTTCATTGCCAGTTTGTTTTCTTTCTGGATCAAGAGAACTGCCTTCAAATAAAATTTTGTTTCTCATTCCTTCTTTAAGCATTCTTTGCCGGATCCTGTGTTGGGCCAAATTGTACCTGCAGTAAAACCTAGAGGAGGGGATAAAAAGAAAACAGGGTTCCCTGCTTTATATGGGTGACAGTATCAAATCAGAGTTATTCAGCCAGTTGAAAAGTCGAAACCACATATAATAATGCTAGTAAAATTCATTATGAAGTGATGCATAATGAAAATACTAGGGTAACTGCTATTTCTTTAAGGCAAACATTATGCAGCCGCTCAGGAGCAGGATTTACAAGTCCAATGGAAAATGCTAATTTCTATCATTTGGGTCTTAACTTCATCACCATTCAGTATGCTGCCTTTATAATTAGGACAGAAGGATGGCATATGTGAAGGAAAAAAAAGAAAGAATTAAGACAGACAGAAATAACTGGGTGGTTTGATCTCTTAGGATTCAAGAAACAATAGCAAGTTTTTAAAAAAAAAATATTAACATAAAAATTCAAAGGCATTGAATTATTTTCCTTTAAAAAAAGAAATATTTCGGGGAGAAGGAAGAGGACGCTTTGCTAGGCAAGTTTTTTATGGAGTTTCAAAAACAGTGTGAAAGGTCACATATCGTACAAAGCAGCCAACATAGGTCTGTCAAAATTCAAGAACCGTTTTACATACCAGTATCCTAACATTGTGCAAATAAAGCCACCGACTGCAAAGTCACAAGATCTTCTAACTCTACCTGAAAGAAAAACAAAAATCCTCCCAAAAATTAGAGAAGAAAAACTTGGATGACTTCCCATTATTAATAAAACCTAACAGTAAATATGAATTAATTTTTCCTTGCAAATAAATATATAAAACCCAGAAGGAATAAGTACTTACTAGTTGCTACAAAATGTCCAAGACCCACAACTAAAGATCCCAGGGAGCCATAGAGCACTGATTCTCGTGCACATGGAACACTTTTAACATCAAGAAATCCTAGGAGTTTAAAGGACTGTAAAAAAAAAACACACAACAAAAACCACACACCATAAATTTAAAAAATTACTTTCGTAAATGTCTATGATGCCAACTCCATTGTAAAACTGACTTGTTATCTTAGTAGTCAGAAATAAACACTTGAAGATTTCCTACTTCCAGGGTTATATCTGAGCAAAAGTGAACATGCACAGCTGCACAAGGAATGGTTTCGGAAGAGTTAACTACTGATATAGGTGACATCATTTCGTACAAACCTGTTGATCCATCCTTTCTACTGAATATTATACAAGAACTATTTCATTTTTTCCTTTACATTTCCCAAAAAAGGAAGGGAGAAAACCCTTAAGAAGCCAGGGTCTTTGTTCAAAACCAACACAAATACATCACAACAAACAGGTAAGGTTACAATCAATTATGCAGTTAGTTATGCCACGTAATTTTAATATCTGAAAAGGCAAATGTGCTTAAAAAAGTGAAATTACTGGAGAATGGGCATGTAGTAGAGAACCTTATACAGAACATTGAATAAGAACATTTGTAAACCAGTAATTTTTAACCTAATCCTATGTATAGGCAGGGGCTGTGCACAGAAATTCTTCTATATACAACACAAGTTTTTAAATGAACCTACTGGTAAAAATGATTCATATTATTTCATACTCTGCTTCACATTTATAACTTACTCTTTTATCTATCAGTTTTCTATTGAATTTTCAAATGGTAATTACACGTGGCATTCATAAAACCAACTGTGAACTGACACGTTTTTCATTTCAGAGATGCCTACATTGGCTTCTGCATAACCCAAGTCTTCTAACTTGAATACAATTTGTACTTCCCACCTGACAAACATCCTTGCAAATGCATGTTGGCGCCACAAGCAGGAGTGAGAAACTACATACAAAAAGGCCTCGAGATGACATGGGTCAGGGTCAAGGTGGCTGCACCGTAGTAACGTGCACATCTTTGTGTTATTAATTCTTTTGTGAGGGATGGTGTGAGGATTCATCTTCATTCTACAGTGTTTAAATCCTTAGACCATTAAACATCACATGTGCACCTGTATCAACTAGAATCTTGAAAGATTATTTTTAATGGTTTTAATTTTTTGTAAAGCTGTTCTACCTGGACAAAGTAGATTTTGAAGATGGGGTACTGCAGTCAGCTATTTGTGGAGGGCTGACAACTCTGTGGGACAAGTCATTGTGAAACACGTCTGACTGTGGCAATAGGGATAGCAAGCATCCGACAACAGCTGGATTTGTATGCCAGTATGGAAATCCCCATCAATAATTTTATCTGCGTTCCCTATGGACAACCATCAGCTGTTTCCACATAATCCCCGTGTGCAAATGAGACAAAAAGGATTTGGTCTACGTTGGTCTAGTCTCCTAATGAGTAACTTCAAGTACTCTCATATGGAAGAAGTCACTTGGTACGTTGCTGTTGTTGGCTAAGAAGGTATCCCTGCTACATCCATGCAGCATGATGCATCCTTTTAAAATAGTATTTCACCTGTTGCTATACTTGAAATCACTTGGTATGACTCTAACCATTGCTAACTACTGGCGTTACGAAGACTCAAGTGTCACGACAGTGTTTCACCCACAAAGAGAAAGCCCCGTAGAGGGGTCCGTGGAAAAACAAACACAGCACCCCACCCCACCCATTTGGCCCTATTGAGCCCCAGTTCTGTCATCGGTTTCCATGTATTGTTCCCTAATTATTTCCTCTGGAACAAAACCAGCGGGGTTTCACAACTGGTTTGCGATAGCCTCTCGTGTCCCCACCGCAGGGCTCCCCCTCCGCTTTCGCGGGTACTGACGTGCGTGGGCGCGGGGAGCAGGGCAGCCCCACAGCTCCTCCTCCTCATCCTCCTCCTCCTCCTCCTCCTCCCAGGGCCCGGCCGGCTTCAGCGGGGGCGGGC